GGTGGGATTTTCAAGCTTTTGAAAAATCCCACTAGATGCCTAACTGTATCTTTAGGAACTTAAATAATGTTACAAATCTGGCCCTAAGAGCATACAAAATTAAACATAAACTTGACTCCAAAAGGTGTAGTTTAAATCTGTGCAGTCATATTGCTCTCATAGTGTCAGGATGGGAGACACTCATGTAAGTGTACCTTACATCATGGCCTGAAGACTGCCAAATCAACTCTCTGGCATACTACCAGAAGGGAGTGTATTCCAAACATGCCATTTCTAGAAAGTTCAGTCTTAGCAACCAGCAGCATAAGCGTCCCAACAGACCTTAAATGCAGGGAGGGGTATAAGGAGAAAGGCAGTTTCTCCAGTAACTGGCTTCCTGGCCAATCGGGGCTTTTAATATGTATCCAACACCTTATCCACATAGTTACAAAGTTACATTTGGCTTTAACTTCTTTCTTCTTCTTCTTCTTCTTCTTCTTTTTTTTTTTGCATTTCCATAGATTTTATTCTGCAAGCAGAAATGTTTCTTATTTCTACTTCTATTCATTTAGAAAAAAGGCCCATATACTATAATAACAATATATGGTAATAACAATAAGCAACAACTTCAATATCTATCTATATAATTTTGGACAAAGCAGGAAGCAAATTCTGACATATAGACTTGGCATGTAACTGCTGAAAAAGACAACTGAATTCAGTGCAAATGATGGCTGTGAAGAAAGAATCAGTTAAGCTTGGTCTTTTATGCATTTTAAAAATTATTTATTAAAATAGGGAGGATGGTACGGATCTGGGAAAAGTTGGAAGGAAGCTTTATTAGTATTAAGTAAAGAAACTTGGGTGGGGAAATGCTCCCCACCGCTGAACAAATCCCAAGAAGCCAACCAAGATTTCCCCATTTGCATACCTACCCTCAATGTTGGAGTCCCAGCAGAGCCACTTTGCAACCACTCTTGCAGTATTAGGTACCGTGTGCCCACAACACAGAGGTGGTTAGCCCGTAAATATACAGAGTTGCAGTCCCCTTCTACAGCTGTCAAGAAAACCCCAGCAGGGTTGGGCTCTGTGACAAGCAGGTATGCAGAACACCATAATGGTATGCCAGTCATAAACATCCTACATACCTTGTTCCAGAACTGCAGTACAAACGCGGAGGAAGAGACTAGATTTGACTTTGCGTTGAGTGAGTTTTTATGAAACATTTAACTTTTATTTTGCAGACTTCACATGGAAGTACTCAAAAAAGATTACTACACAATTGAGTCGTGAAAAAAGATTGAAGGAACCGTCCGCAATACACTGCAAACCAGTGAAGAATGAGAAAATTGCAGATATTTTATTAATAAACCAAAGCTTGTATAAGTTTTTGGTCCCTTGAGGCTTTTATATTTTCTATTTCTCATATTAAAGAAAATATGGCTCCCATGTCTCTGAAAGGTGGTTTCCCCCTCCCCTCTTAATAAAAATGTCCCAAACTGAGCTAAATCATGTAATAGTGGTGTGACGTTGCACTCCATATGTTTTATGGAAATATGCTTATGAGTATAAATATGATGTAACTGGAATATGCTTTATGCAAAAGGTCTCTTGTAAGGTATCATAACAAAGATTATAACCTACTGAATATACATCTCCTATGTGTATGTATGTATCACTCTTGTATCTGAAACTAGAAATATAAAGTATAACTCTGGGGTCCTACTGTAATTATGCAAAGTGTGGGCCATTGATGGTAGTTTAGAATCTTGATGGCTCCCACTGACTAGGACAATTGATTGTAAATGGCTCTGTTTACTTGTAAACCTTCCTGTGTTCACGTAAGCCAGCCCAGGAAGAATGGAGGCTGGGGGTCTTACATGTCACATGATGCTGAAATCCATCTTAAATCTGGTACTTTTCCATTTAGAAGTAGGGGTGGGGGCCCAGAGAGACAAAAGATTCCCGCCTTGGGCCAAAGCTATAAAGGGGGTGGGACAGAACAAAGGGGGCTGCCAGTCATGAGAAATCCCCTAGTTACCACCTGAGCTAGAACTAACAAGGACTGTACCAGGAAAAGATTGGGCCCAGACTAGGAAGGAGTCTAGTCTGCGAAAGAAGTTTATTGGAACATCTCTGAGGGTGAGATTTTACCTGTAAACAGTTTCTTAATGTATTAGGCTTAGACCTGCATGTTTTTGTTTTACTTTGCTTGGTCATTACTTGAAACCACTTAAATACTACTTTTTATACTTAATAAAATCACTTTTATTAATTAATCCAGAGTAAGTGATTCATACCTGGGGGAGCAAACAGCTGTGCATATCTCTCTATCAGTGTTATAGAGGGTGGACAATTTATGAGTTTACCCTGTATAAGCTTTATACAGAGTAAAATGGATTTATTTGGGGTTTGGATCCCATTGGGAACTGGATGTCTGGGTGCTGGAGATAGGTAATCTGCTGAGCAGTTTTTGGTTAAAGTCTACAGCCTTGAGGCATGGACCAGACCTGGGTCTGTGTTGCAACAGGCTAGCGTGTCTGGCTCAACAAGGCAGGGTTCTGGAGTCCCAAGCTGGCAGGGAAAATGGGCTCAGAGGTAATTCCAGCATGTCAGGTGACAGTCCCAAGGGGGTCGCTGTGACCAAACCCGTCACAAGTGGTCTCTGTTGTTAGTTGAACAACGAGGAGTCCAGTGGCACCTTAAAGACTAACAGATTTATTAGGGCATAAACTTTCGTGGATAAAAAACAAAAGAGAGGGAAAATTGCTTTTGTAGTGAGCCAGCAGATCATCAACGATCTACAACCTATCCTGGAAAACAATCCCTCACTCTCACAGACCTTGGGAGGCAGGCCAGTCCTCGCTTACAGACAGCCTTCCAACCTGAAGCAAATACTCACCAGCAATTAGACACCACACCACAGAAACACTAACCCAGGAACCAATCCCTGTAACAAACCCTTTGCCTACTCTGTCCCTATATCTACTCTAGTGACACCATCAGAGGACCCAATCACATCAGCCACACCATCAGGGGCTCATTCACTTGCACATCTACTAATGTGATATATGCCATCATGTGCCAGCAATGCCCCTCTTCCATGTACATTGGCCAAACTGGACAGTCTCTATGTAAAAGAATAAATAGACACAAATCAGACATCAGGAATGGTAACATACAAAAGCCAGTAGGAGAACACTTCAATCTCCCTGGACATTCAATAACAGATTGAAAAGTAGCCATCCTTCAACAAAAAAACTTCAAAAACAGACTTCAAAGAGAAACTGCAGAGCTACAATTCATTTGCAAACTTAACACCATTAATTTGGGCTTGAATAGGGACCGGGAATGGCTGGCTCAATACAAAAGCAATTTTCCCTCTCTTGGTATTGACACCTCCTCATCAATTATTGGGAGTGGACCACATGCACCCTGACTGAATTGGCCTTGTCAACACTGGTTCTCCACTTGTAAGGTAACTCCCTTCTCTTCACGTGCCAGTATATTTATGCCTGTATCTGTAATTTTCACTCCATGCATCTGAAGAAGTGGGTTTTTTTACCCATGAAAGCTTATGCCCAAATAAATCTGTTAGTGCCACCAGACTCCTCGTTGTTTTTGTGGATACAAGACTAACATGCCTACCCCTCTGGCACTTGGCACCATGTTGTTAGTTGGTGTAACCTAGCTTGCAGGCCTCTGGTGGTAAAAAGTCATTCTGGAACATAAAGCAGTAATACAAACCAAACCAACTCTTGCTCAGCATACATCTTCTGAGGATTATTTACCAGATGGATTCATATAACACACTAGTCAGAATTTAAAGCTGCTTTTCCTTGACAGTGAATCCCTCTCTGGTGTAGCTTTGCCAATGGGTGTAGTGAAGCATAAATTATATTTCCTCATGATCATTGAATTAAATCTGGCCTATTATCTGGACCCTGTGTTGACTTTCAAAATTCTGCTGAAGCACAATTCCCAAAAGCACCACCAAGGGGTCAAATAGTAACAACCTTTACAATACCAAAAATCAAATTCAAAATCTTGGATGAACACTTTAGGGATCTAGGGCACTCTCACTGCATGTAAGTACTTTTGTGCTATTACCTCCTTCTCTCTAGGGATGCAGCATAGTATAGCACAGTGGATCGGCAGAGTCTCATATCTGGTGTTTTATGTATAGCCCCTGCTCCTGGAGTCCTTTACATTTTGTGAGATTCTCAGCTTTAATTTAAAAAATGGATGTGTCTAGCCCTTATTGTTGCAGAGAAAAGCTAGAAACATGGACACTATAGGGCCAAACCCCAGAAGACAAATAAAAGCACCCCAAGTTTTTATTTTTTAAAACCTCATGATTTGTCAGCCAATCTCAGGCTTTCAGGGTCGCTGTGTTTGAAGGCTTGAGGCTGGCAAACCTAGTAATATTTCCATTGGAAATAGCTCAATAGGCAGGTCTTTAAACAGTGGGGCAGGGGTGGAAGGCAGCCAAGGAAAATTTAGTTACAAATAGCCAGAGGGGACGGTGAAATCCAGCCCTGGTGTAAGCAGAGACTGTTCCCACTGTGGGGGAAGGGGGAGAAAGGTAGGAGTGAGGGGATGTGGGGAGGGGAGTGGCGCACCCAAAGGCTGAGGTAATAGAAGGCGGGAAGCTTGACAGGACGGGAGGGAAAGGAGAGGCTGGGGAAACTGTGCATGAGCAATGGCGCAGACAGAGTGTCAGGCGTGACAGGACACTCCCCCACCTTGGCCGTTGCTCCCCAGCCCATTTGTTTCCCCTCATCCGCAGTTTCTGTCAGATGCAGCCACAACCCAAAACCACCAAGCCGCATAGCCAGCGCCACAGCAACCGCGGGGGGGCGGGTCCCGGTCCCAGCCGCGTTGCATCTTGGGACTCGTAGGCGCCTCACGGACTCTTTCCTGCCGGGCGAGGCGACTCAAAGGCGTTAGTGAAACTCCAATCCCCATGATCCACTTTGGGAAGCCGCCAAGCCGGTTCCGCGAGCAGCAGACTGGGCTGTGGGCGTCGGGGTTTCCAACAGAACCTCCCCGATTCTCCAAAGCCGGTTACGACAACTCACTAACCTTCCCGCCCACGTTGAATGAGGCGCCAGGGCTGCCTAGGAAACATGCCTGGCCGTGTGCGCTGGAGACTGAGCCCCGGGAGGGGGAAGGATGGGAGGACGCCTGCCAGCAGCCAAGGGAGTGCCATTCTCCTCCCAGCGCTGCCTGGGCGAGCTGCACTCGCCTCCGCTGCCACTCGCCTCAGGGCTCCGGAGCACACGGACCAGGCTGCAGGGAAGAGCGCTGCTGCCAGGTGACAGATAGCGACCCCTGGGGCACGCTGCTTTGGCTGTGGGCTTTGGTGTCAGGTCACATCCTCCGTTACCACCTCCTAGTGGGGCACGATGCCCTGTGTTATACCTCCTCCCCACACACAGAGGAGTATTGCTTGGGCTGTGGGGTTAGTATCCACTCGCTCCCCTGTTTGGGGCACGGTGCCCCCATACACAGACAGAGGGGATCGTTGCTCTGGCTGTGGGGTTAGTATCCGCTTGCCCCTCTGGGGCATGGTGCCCTGCGTTATACCCCCCCCCCCGCCCTCCAAGGAGATCATTGCTCTGGCCGTGGGTGTTCGTATCCTTTCATTCCTGTGGGAAAATTTCTCTGTCTGGGGGGGGGGGGTATTCGTATCAGATTACCTCCTGTGCAGGATGGTGCCCCGTTTTACTCCTGCTACGGAGAATATTGCTCAGCGTGTGACATGAGGTTTAAAGCTCCCCAGTCCAGTCCCCTCTGTGGAGTGTTGCTCTGGGGGACAGCGCCGGGTTATATCACCACCATGGACTATTGTTTTGAGTGTGATGCCGGATTATATTTCTTGTGTGGAGTATAGCTTTGTGTGTTATGCCAGATTTTGCCCTAAGGGTCGTTTTGCTTTCAGTGTAGATTCATCGATAGTAGGTTATATACTACGTGGGGAATATTGCTTATGTGTCGGGGGGAGGTACCACTGGGGAGTACTGCTGTGGTTGTGAGGTACAGTTTATATTACCCGATATCAATACACTCTGGTTTAGTTTGTTAATATAAGGTTAAATGGAGGATAATGAATATGGTTAGAGGCATATTCTGTGGAAATAGATGCATGGTTTAGCCTTTTGATGGTTAGCTTATTCCTACCCTCCCTTCCATCTAGTACTGAACAGTGTTATCTGCATGAGTCTTTGCTTTTCTTCTTCTCTGATTCAGAAATCTCTCTCTGACGTTTGTGACTGTTTTTTGGTGAACGAGTGTGGTTTGAGGTGAATGTTACAAAAGATGTGGAGAAACCACGCAGAACAGTTAAGAACTAAAAAATTAATTACGGCTTTAGGGTAAGGAAAAGGAAATCATGAAAGTGTGTGTTGGCGCTGGAAAAAAAATGTTATTCCAATACATGGGAGTAAACATTTTTTTTAAAATGCTCTCTTGTGATGGTAAATAGAAATGTTTTGATGGCTGCAAAATGGACAGTGTTTGAATTAAATTGTTGTTTTAGACTCCGAGAGAGCTATTTTTGGGGACGGAGCGGGGAAGAGGTTTTGGGTGTATTATATTCATTCTGTTGCTCTTTAACATTATCCTGTATGCAGATTGACAATTGCAAATGGATCATGGTGGAAAAGCTTAGAAGACTTCCGTATAACGCGTTTAGAACTGACAGATTAAATTCAGATTTATTGCTGGAAAACCCTTTGCACTTTGCATTTTAAGTACATGTTTATTTCACATTTTAAATATACTTTTTTTCTCTTTTTCCTTTTCAGTTTAAATCTACTGACATACATTTTAAAAGGGAAAAATCCAGAAAGCCTTTTTGCAGGAAGATATGAAAGTGCATTAGCGGAGACACAGCCAGGACTCTTCTGCAGGTGGTGGTGACATACACAAGTTACTTTGCCTTTGGAAAGAAAAGACCTGTGTGGTATTAATTTACGTGTATGTGCATTATTCCCCTTCCTCCCCCCAGAAGTTGTCTGGGCTGCAAAGCAGCGGGGAGGCAGCAGCTGCTTGTCTCGGGCAACAGAACATTATGGTGGCAGCACAACAGAAGCAGCCGCGGCAGCAACGGCAGCAGCAGCAGAGCTGGTCCGTGAATGTGTTTTCTGATTAAAATCAGCATTGGAAAGTGCACCTGAAGATTCAGCAGCTAGGCAGGAATTGATAACGTTTAAAAGAGAGAAAAATTTTAAGGGGGGGAAGAGAGGGTGGCACTAGGTTTTGTGTGTGCTTGAGGGAGTGGGGATTGGTTATCATGGCGGATCGGACAGCTCCTAGATGCCAGCTCCGTCTGGAATGGGTTTACGGGTACAGGGGTCACCAGTGCCGCAACAACCTGTACTACACGGCAGGCAAGGAGGTGGTTTACTTCGTGGCTGGAGTCGGGGTGATTTATAACACCAGAGAGCACACCCAGAAATTCTTCTTGGGACACAACGATGATATTATCAGGTAAGGGGGGGCAGACAGTTGGTGTGGTGGGGTTAATGGGGGGTGGGGAGAGGAGGACTAGTAAATACCTCCTCCTCTACTCATCTCTGAGCATGTTTCTGTAATTTTAGGGAGAAGCACAGGTTCTCATCAAAGGTTTGGGTGAAATTTGGATCTGTCTGGATCCTGCTGATCTTTTTTGTACGGAAGCCCCCAAATTGTAACTCAGAATAGAAAACGAGTTTAGCCTCTCCGACTGCACCACAAACAAATACATGAAAAACACCACCACCACCACAACAATAAAAAAAAACTGTAGTGCAACACTTTACTGCAAAACCCCTGCTAATTTTTGGTCCACAGTCCCTTAATTATAATGTCTAAATAGAGAATATGGTGTATATGCTATTCTTACAGCAATAAAAATCTGGACTCCAGATATCCCAATATCACAAATGCCTCAATCTGGCACCTGAATCCAGCCAATTTTTGGTTCCCACACTGCCAATTCCACTTAAACAAAGAACAAGTTTAGCTGCTCATGCCCCAGGAAAAAAAATTGTGTGCCAGTGCATTCTGTTGCAACAGAACCACAAAAATCCAGATTCAATACCTGAACCCTGGATTAAGCCAAGTTTTCATCCCAGTCTCTCAAATTCTACTGTCTAAATAGAGAATGTGTTTAGCCACCCCTGCTGTACCTTAAGATGTGCCCTAGCATTGCAAAAACTTGGATTCAGTTTCTGTGTTCAGCTGGATCCTGCCAAATTTTGTTCACAAACACAGAAATTGTATCAACAAAACAGAGAACAAGTTTTGCTTCTACTATTCCACCAGAGAAATCTGGACTCCAGTACAAAAAAGCTGCATGGACTACTGAAACCAGCTAACTGTTGGCCACCTACCACTTTTTTTACCACCTAAATTTAGTATAGCTGAAACTTCTCCTACTCAAGCAGAATAATCTGGAATTCAGAATAGTACCTGATGAATCATGGTGCAACAGTGCTGCAGAAAACATATATCCAGCAATTGAATGTGTGGGTGTCCATCTGGGTTTTGCCACTGAATATGCAAATACTACAATTATCGGATAACCATACTGGAGTCATAGCTTACAGAAATCCATCTACCTTATACAACATGATGTCTTTCACTATCACATACATATGTTAGTTGGCTCATTTACCTCCCTCCTTTCATTGGGTGCACTTACGAAGTTAATTTTGGTTTTATAGGTATTACCAATCCATGCAGCATTCTTTATTTAAATTTTATTTCTTGAAATTCTACTACCTCTAAAACCAGAATGAACTTTTTAAATGCACCCATGGTACTTCATTAAATGCCTGGTACCTCCCTTTTATGTGGCTGGTAATTTATTTTATTCCTTAGAAGCTAGAAAGTATAATACATCAAGGTCCACATTTAGCAATATATATATGAGTTTTATTTTAATACACTCATTCAAAGCTTTGATTTTGTTGCATTTCTATCTGCTAAGGAAATAGTGTCCTGATGATTACTATTGTATAAACTGTATGGCTGGTCATTTATGGAACATTTCGAAGGATTGTTTCCAGCACATTACATAAGTACTAAATTTTGATGATAAAACAGGGGAAGGCTATGTAGGCGTTCAGCATTGGCATTTTGACACTGCATGCCAGTTTTATTCTAATTTTAAAGGATAGTAGTATGCAAATCAGTTATTTAAATCAAAAAGCTGTTTGAGGACTAGCCCTGTGGTTAGCGTAATATGCTGGGAGTTGAAACTACAGTTCAATTCCTGAGCTGTTAGGGCTGAGAATTCTGCTGAGTCAGCATGTTCCACTCCTGGAGGTGGCAGGAGTATTTTGCATTGCTCAAAATGAGTGCTCTGTTGCCAAGTAAATAGCAGCATCAGTGGGGTCCAAATAGGAGTTCCATGTATCTGCTCATGGCCAAGGAAAGTTGCTGTGATGTGGGGTTTAGGAAAAGACAAGTCTTCTGCTGAGAATCCCTCCTCACATATATTCTGATAGAATATTTTTCTTTTTGCATTTGTAATACTTGATGCCTTTATTCCTTTGGTACGTTTTGTGATTCTCATTAAAGAGAATTCAGACACAGCATCCAATATAACCACTTTTTAACTGGATGTTTACTGGTATGATAAGCAGTGAAGTGTGTAATAAATGCTAACATTTTAATTGTCACAGTTAGGTGTCAGAGCCAACATCTTATTGAGATGAATGGGGAATAGTTCTCCAGTATTTCAATTAGTGCAATTGTTTTACTTTTTCTATGTCCAGACTCATGACAACAGTGCATAAATTTGCAATATGAAAGTTCATTGTAACTAAAGGGATTTGTAACATTTTTTTAAAATGAAACTTTATACTTTGGAAAATACTGCAAAATCAGTATGAAGGCCTTGGAATGTGTGGTTTTTCTGCTTCCATAGGTTCCTATTTGCTCCATTTGTAGCGAAAGCTTTCAGGGATGTACTGTTTTTATGAGAGTTGATGAACCCTATAAAAACATTCATAGAGAGTGAGAGTTACCATCCCACTTTGCAGTGTTTACCAAAGTCATGGGCATGAATGTTTTTCCATAGTGAAAAGGTCACATGTTAAAATAAATTAAATTCATTGTACTTTCACTAGTTCACAAATTGCCCTGTCTTTGGCTTTGTGCCAACATCATGCAGTGGCTACAGTTCATTTTTGGCTAAGTCAGTGTTTCCCAAACTTGGGACTCTGCTTGTGTAGGGAAAGCCCCTGGCGGGCTGGGCTGGTTTGTTTACCTGCCGCATCCGCAGGTCTGGCCGATCGCGGCTCCCACTGGCCGCGGTTCGCTGCTCCCGGCCAATGGGGGCTGCTGGAAGCGGCGCAGGCCGAGGGACATACTGGCCACCACTTCCAGTAGCTCCCATTGGCCATCGGCCGGACCTGCGGATGCTACAGGTAAACAAACCAGCCCGGCCTGCCAGGGGCTTTCCCTACACAAGTGGTGTCCCAAGTTTGGGAAACACTGGGCTAAGTTAAAAAAGAGTCTCTTTAATTGTAAAAAAAACGAGGAGTCCTTGTGGCACCTTAAAGACTAACAGATTTATTTGGGCATAAGCTTTCGTGGGCTAGAACCCACTTCATCAGATGCATGGAGTGGAAAATACAGTAGCAGGTATATATACACATATGTATACACACATACACATTACACACATGAAAAGATGGGAGTTGCCTTACCAAGTGGGGTGTCAGTCTAACGAGACAATTCAATTAACAGTAGAATACCAAGGGAGGAAAAATCAC